TATTCCTTTTTGTTTCAGGTTAATTTCAACTGCCAAATCGTTAATAAAGATGGAGAATACCGGTAATGTAGGAGAGAGATTATCACCCTGACGCACGCCTTGCTCAGTGTTAAACCAGTCTGTTTTAAAATCATTTAGTTTTACAGAAGAATTTGTGTCGCTATACATAGCTCGTATAGACTTGTACATTTTACCGTTAATTTCGTTAATAAGTAATTTGTATAGCAATGCGTCTCTATCGACACTGTCGAACGCTTTTCGTAAATCAATGAAAGCGGCAAAAGTTGATAAATCATGGGATATTCTATTTCTGATAATAGATGTCAAAATATAAATATGATCTTCGCAATTTCTATCCTTTCTGAAACCATTTTGCTCATCTACTAAAATATTATTATTCTATATAAATAGTGTAACATAAATCACTAGAATGGACTCACCAGCTGGTAAATTCAATGTTATAATGTTTTCAGTTTCGGCTCCAAATGACTGGAAATTAAAAACATATATATCTACGTATTACAAGACATACAAGAGTATGAACTGAGATTCTTTGCACACAAGGTCATCATTATCATTATCAAAAATTTACAATTATAATAATGCACTCAATATATGTGATGTTTACAGTTTGAAATAAACACAGACATCAGCAGTCCTCCTAACTTTGCTGATAGCCGCCATCTTGAACAACTGTTTGTACAAGTGGTAACAGCCAATGCAAGCTTTATTAGATAGCAAAATATCCTGAATGTTTCTATTCTGAGTCCAAAAAAGAGGTTTTGTTTATCATTGCACATATCAGTTTGTAACATACACCTAATACATTTTTTGTTTGCAATACACGGTTGGTAAAGTGTGCCACATGTGTTAGAAAGGAGAAATGTTTGCTTTCTGTTTCAGAGGACCACTTGTGGATCCAATTCTATCTTATATAAAAAAGTAGCTGTTTTGTTTGAAATGACTAGTAGCCCTTTTGTACATCAAAAATACTTTTTTTTGGGTCAAAATGTTGAACATACATGTATATCTTGTTGCAGTATTGAATAATCCTAGTACAAAATAAAAAAAAAATTACATCATTTCTCTGGGGCAAGACACTAACATTTTTTTAGTAGGTCTAAACCATGAATCACATTTGCAAGCAAATAAAAGTCATGTGAATAAAGAAATTAAACTCACCAAATAACCACATACTCCAAAGAAAATATATAAAGATGTAACTACAAACATTGTAAATATAAAGACACTGTAAAAAAACAAGTATACAGAGAATAAGGTCAATGACCTAACATGTAAATGTAGTTCCTCTATTGAAGTATTATTTGGATGACATTTGAGGACATAAAACATGGAATGATATGTCAAGGACATTACATCAAAACAAGTGGCATAAATACAAAACCATTATTTCTTGCCTTTGTACAAAGTTAATACATGATCTGTCAAGTGTGACAGAGAAATGGGTTTGGACAAACGAAAAAAAGTCATCCAGTCATGAAACAAACAGACATGTATCAGTAATCCCCGCACCATGGGTGATGTTAAGGGTTGGTGGTATCGTGCAGCGCGTGTTTGAATCGCATGTGAACAAACAATGCATTTTACATGTGTTGTGCATGTCACTGTGAGTCCCATATCGAACAGAACGATGCGCGATGAGCACCACCCTTTAATATCATGTTCTGACTGTAATTGGTCCGGGCATGTCTGAAAAACATTTTATAACATGTTGTAATTTTGAGGTTTTTTACGACAGAATATTCACCAGTTTGTTGATTTCAGTGAAGCTAAAAAAAAATTGACATGCATATGCAAATCATTTCTTGTCTTTGAAACCACTTTGAACAAAATCTGTCCAGGTGTAAAGAGATGGACACATTGAACACAAAAAATAAGTCCCTGTTTCAGACAGTTGGTGATTGAAGTCACACAAAACCGATGCATTCTGAAATTCGTTTGTTTCAGATAAAAATGAGTAACAATATTTCATGAATAATGAAGCGTTTTAATTTTATATTTTCAATACTTGCAACCATAATCCAACATCAAGAGAACGATCCTCCTGATTGGTCAAAGGAGTTTATGTTTACAACTAGTGTTTGTTGCATATCAAAATTTCATTCTTCATCTTTGTTGAAAGAAATGCATCAAATGTGAAAAAGTTGCAATTGACAAGTTCTGAGTTCGGCCATTACCATAGAAAAAACGTGTTCGGGTGTAAAAATGTGCCAATTGCTTCTCATTGATTTCAATGCATAAACGTTCACTAGCTCAATTGAATGCTGGGATCCAGGTAAACCAGCAAACAAACTATGCAAGCTTGAAATCAACCCTCCATTCATGAGCAGAAACTGACTAATGGCAGTAAGTCAAAACTCATCTATTCTACATACGTACAATGTGTTACTGGTATATACTTTACCTTCTAAATCTGTGTCTTTTTTCTTTGATAACAGATGATTCTAATGACAATATCATTCCAGCACCCTGACAATTGAAATCATACAAAATACACAAGGTTATGAGTAAACCAAAGATGTATATATTATTATAATATTACCTGATATTTTCTTTTTAAATAGTGTAGATTTGGATACTAGTATATACACAAGTGGTTAGATAACAGTGAATTTTATGTAGGCATGACAAATTTTTAAGAAAATTTATAAAATATTCATAACAAATTAACACTGAGATGACCCTAACGCTTCATTCAAATTCAAAAAATATGATTTCATTGGCCACAGAAGCAATGTGATAATGCCCATTACCCATGAATCTTTGCAGTTTCTCCTCAATCATTGGTCAATTTATTGCCATGCACCTGTGCACATTCATCAAAATATTTTATATATAAAAACATACATGCCTTCATGAAATTTACTGTAATAAATGGATTTAAATTAAAAATACTCATAAAACTGATATTATAATGTATGTAAATTAGCTACACATAGTCTTTACATGCAGAAAGCAGTGTTACCATGGAGAAGATTCATATTGGATGCCATCTTGGCAGACAGAATAACTCATAGAATTCACACAAAGTTTTGGGGATCAGTTACGCCACACAAGTAATACCTGTGTATTAACCACAAAAACATAAACCCGATGCGCACCATAAACCAGTATGTAAGTTAACCATATAAACAAAACAGAATCCCACAATTTTGTTGGAATTGATATAATTGTCTGAAAATTACTTTTACTCAAAGTATATCTTTCTAAAACTTGATATAAAGTGTTTCCATTATGTGACAGGTTTAACTAGTACAATGTAACACATATACAAGCTGTTGTAATTTATAGCATAATTTATAGTCTGACTTCATCCATAAGTATTGATATGCAAATATATTCACATATGCAAATTAGCACACACATTCTGTTGTCACCAATGAACCAATAGTTGAACTTACCATACAAAGTTTGAAGAATATCAAAATAGAAGTGCCATAGATATGAATTCATTCATTAACATATGCAACACATACACGTACTATATGTTGTCAACACTGAACCCGTAATTACACTAAATATACCAAGTTTGGAGAAGATCAACATAGAAATGCCAAAGATGACTACATCCATAACAATTAATATATGCAAATACACAAATTAGCAGACACATTATGTGCTGTCAGCACCATACCTACAAGTACACTAACCATATCAAGTTTTGAAAAAAATCGGCATAGAAATACCAGAGATACTACACAGTACATACATACATACAGACACTCAGCTCCCTCGCCATCACATACGATTTTACCTACACATATATACAAACACTGAGCAAAATTCCCTACCAGCAGCATTTGCATGCATGTACACACATTCATAAAACTATTTTAATAACAACAATATGTAAATCAGTTCAGACGATATTTTTAAACAGCAAGCTGGAGTGGTTTGACGAATGAATGTAACATTCAATAGGTAATTAAACCAGCAGGTGTGCCATGCACCCACCAGGTTAAAAAGAAAAAATGTATATATAGCTACCGTAAACAAATAAACAAATTTGACAGAAAACTATACTAGTTCATCTATGGCAAATATGAAAGCTAAGAGATCAATGATGGGTCACACCTAGCAGATAGACAGATGACGATAGACAATCAGCTCACTTTAATTTTGTAGCTTTAGGGAAAATGCCTCTGCAATTGGTGTTGTAAAATATAATTATTTCATAGCATGTGACTTATTTCATTCATTCGTTCATTCATTCATTCGTTCGTTCGTTCATTCATTTATTACTCAGATCAATAGACATCTTTCTCAGAAATCACACCCGCTAGTGACAAACGGAAATAATTTTGCAAAAAAACATATATATATATATATAGTTACCTCATAACAATAGATGGATATTCCAAGAAAGAATGGAAACCCTTTAAAAGACATTGCCTTAGGATGTATTCTGTGAAAAGAAGGCCATGAATGATACATATAAAGGTAGCAGCATTAATAAACATGTATAGATAAAGATGTATGAGATAAGAGGATATGCAGTGTGTGATATTTGATAACAAGCCATGCATGGCACAATCCTAGCCTGACAAGTTTGCGTAGGTGAAGTTGGTGGGGATCGCAGCAGTCCAGGGCGCCACCTACGCCAACTCGTCAGGCTAGGCACAATCCCTGTAGTTATCAAATTTAAGATATATAGTTTTGTTTATAGTAATATTGTAAAAGCGACATGCAATTTTAGCGAATTGTGGTAAAATGAAGTAATAGCGAAATGTTGATTTAGCGAATTTCTCTTGTCATTGTTGATTTCCTGTTTTCACAATACTTGTTTGTCGCGCGCCAAAACAAATGCGCAGTTATCACCTCCATAAAAGCAAAGAAAAACTGTCAAGTGTAATTTGATTCTGTTCGAGATGATAAAAAAAACGATTTAACAGGAATTTGAAAAAGCGGGTATCGTTGCTGCTTTACATCCAGAACATTGAACTTTTATATTGGGACTCAAAAATTACTAAATACTACTAATTTCCCGTAATAATATATCAGTATCACTTCATTTATTTATTTTCATTGAAATAATGACCACAAAGAATACGTTTATTTTTTTTGTGTTAATTTACTTTTCAATAAAGTCTATCATCATGTCTGTACGTTTGTTTTGTGTTGTTTACAAAGTGTGTGTGGAGAAAAAAGTCGTTGTTTGGCGGCCATTTTGAATTAGGGACGACGTCAAAAGATCGATGTCGGATAAAAAACTTAATTCCTTTAGTTTTTTTCCAAACCCCCTTACCCCCCACTGAAACTTAATTGATAAATATTGGTCATGGCGTCAGACTACATTCACCATTAAATACAAATTGATAATCAGACAGTAGTATTGCATAGCAGTTGGTTGTCGGGTGGGTGTAAAAAGATTTTACAAATGCACCTCATTTGATGCACAAATTTACACTAGAACCAAACCATTTTTCTGGGTTTTTTTTTTTTTCGGTTATTTCTGTCCATGATTGGATAGAAAAAAAACGAACTACAAATTTTTTTGACTTCATTAAAAAATAAAATCGTTTTTGTAGGATGGAAACTTTTTGAGGTCAAAACCCCCCCACCCCCAAACTAAAGGAAATAAGTTTTTTATCCGACATTGATCTTTTGACATCGTCCCTTAGCGAATCAGTTCTCTCGCTAAATTTGCGAAAAAGACATGCTCGCGAAAAAGACATGTTTTACAGTGGTTGGAACACAAACATGTCAGAGATATGGATTCAGAAACTGATGCTTAACTACAATGATTTTTTAAGATTAAAATGACATTCAGTCATCTTGTATCTGATCATTAAACAAGTACTTGTCCATATTAAGAGAAACTGCTCTGGAACAGCATTAACAAAAAAAAAAATCGGCACTGGTTGGCCATTTTAAATACATCTGTATATCTATGACATAATATATAATGAATATATAAAATTTGAACATAATCATTTAAAGCATGTCAGGGATATGGCCATGTATTCATTAAAACATTATGATTCCGATCTGAAGAAACAATATGATGTGCATCAAGGTCCCATAATGTCCAGTGTATGTACACTGTTTGAACAAAATCCATCTGTAAACAGCCGAGATCCAGTTCTGAAAGCCAGAAATGCTTGATTTCTGTACAAAAAAAGGCCGCCATTCAGCCATATTGAAACGGATCATGAAATATATTGACGTGCATATGTAGAATATTATATAAAATGTATGTGTGAAGTTTGAATGTAATCGGCCCAGGAATGTCTAAGATATAGGTCCGAACACATGCACACATGGATGCACGCACAAACGCATGTATGCACACACATCTGTTTCCTGGTACCAACCATACACCCCACAATGCTTCACTGAAACTGGTTTTTTTCTTCAGAGATCGGTCTGCCAAGACTGACAGTTAAAATTTATCTGATTTTTTGATTAAATTACATACTGAATATGCAAGCATTTCTTCCAAAGACAAAACAAATCTGGAAAGAAGTACATTTTGTATGTTGCAACTACAATGTATTTATGCAAAATGTCACTTGAGTGAAACAAATTTATTTCAAGACCACCTGTGACAAAAACAAAGAAAGGATTACTTACGTTATTTTACTTGCATGTTCAAAGTCAAACCAAAATACAACAGCATAAGCAGTCACATTGGCAAAGTCAGCAAATAAACTGTTATAAAACAAATATAGTTTATTTACAAACAAAAATGTACTAAAGAAGATTTCATGCTGATATTATTTACAAATAATCACCATTCAACATTATTGATATCATACATCACAATAGATTGACCATTGCTATACAAATATGACCATTATTATACCGACCCCGTGTATAAGTCACATGACCATTATTATACCGACCCCATGTATAAGTCACATGACCAATATTATACCGACCCCATGTATAAGTCACATGACCATTATTATACCGACACCATGTATAAGTCACATGACCATTATTATACCGACGCCATGTATAAGTCACATGACCATTATTATACCGACACCATGTATAAGTCACATGACCATTATTATACCGACACCATGTATAAGTCACATGACCATTATTATACCGACCCCATGTATAAGTCACATGACCATTATTATACTGACCCCATGTATAAGTCACATGACCATTATTATATCGACCCCATGTATAAGTCACATGACCATTATTATACCGACCCCATGTATAAGTCACATGACCATTATTATATCGACCCCATGTATAAGTCACATGACCATTATTATACCGACCCCATGTATAAGTCACATGACCATTATTATACCAACCCCATGTGTAAGTCACATGACCAATATTGTACAGATTCCATGTACAACTACTCACCTAAATATGGCTAATTTATGTAGCTTTCTGATGAGTGTAAGAAAAGCCAATGGTGGAAGAATTATAAATAACCATTGATACATATGCATTTCATGTACAAACGATGATAAGTTTTCTATTATAAAAATGAGGTAGGCACAGCAAAAACCTATCAGAGATAAAAAGTATAGAATTATTTTATCAATGAGAAAATATTGTGAGAATATATATGTATTTCCACACAGTTTGACAGAGTGAAATAGTAGAGTGCTGAATGTGAAAACAATATAGAATCATTTTATCATTGAGAAAATATTGTGAGAATTTATATGTATTTCCACACAGTTTGACAGAGTGAAATAGTAGAGTGCTGAATGTGAAAACAATATAGAATCATTTTATCAATGAGAAAATATTGTGAGAATATATATGTATTTCCACACAGTTTGACAGAGTGAAATAGTAGATTGCTGAATGTG